TCCTTCTCCCTTGCTCCCAGTGTAGGCTAGTTCTGGGCCTACTTCTCTTTCCCAAGAGGAATTCCCTGGGTCTGCTCTTTCCAGCACTGGGTCAGTGCAAAATGGAAAACAGGTTGTCTCCACTCTTTGCTGGCCTTGGTGCCCTGGGCCTCTGCCCAGCTCTCCAGTGTGCTCAGCTCCACCCTACTCAATATGAAACAGAAGAAATTGTTCCTTTAGGCACACAATCTTGCTGTCTCCAAAAAACAAGGAATCCCTCCCTTCTCTATCCTACTCAGCTAGGGAAGGGCACAAACCGACCATAGCAGAAAACCCCAGGGCAGCCCTCCCTGACAACTACAGGAAAATATGGAGACTACTCTCATCAGAAGACATCTATTCTCCAAACTCCAGCTCCTATCAGGTATAGGGCTAATTGAAATTCCCAGTTGGTGACTGGGTCCTCAGAGCACAATCTCATTCTTACCAAACTGTTAAACATTATTGACAGATCTTACCAAAATTAGTTTTGACTCACTGTTTATATAAGGCCTCTCCTCTGCCCAGACTCCTTCATGGCTCCCTACTGACTTCCTTGTCCAAAAGGAACCTCAAGACCTTGTAGCAGGGTGCCATGGTGTGCGCCTGTGGTCCCAGCTACTTGAGAGGCTGAAGCAGAAGGACTGCTTGAGTCCAGTTGTTAGAGACTGCTGTGAGCTATGATTGCACCACTGCACTCCAGCCTGTGTGACAAAGCAAGACCCTATCTCAAAAAAAAAAAGAAAAGAAAAAAGAAACCTCAGGCCCTGGCTGTCATGCCCTCCTGTTCCCCTGTGTACTCTTCCTTTCTCTCCTAGCTCTATCTCTAGGTATCTCTCCCCCCGAGCCACTCTCCCTCAAGCCCCCTTCCCCATTCTAATTTGCTCTCATCATCTTGGGAGATCTCACTCAGAATGCCCTCACATCTCTACAAAGCCTTTCCTACCTATTCCAGGGACAGAGCACTGTCAGCTTCTCATTATATTCCACACACATCTCTCTACAGCCTGTGTTCCAGGCTCTGAATCCACAATGATGAATAAAACGCAGTCCCTGCCCTTGAGGAGGTCAATCTGCAGAGGATTCAGATGAGTGGGTAAATAACTAGCACACAGAGAAGCGCTATCAAGAAGCACGTAAAAGGTGCTAGAAGACTGAAAGTCCCCAGGGAGTGGGGGTGTCTAGAGAAAGCTTTAAAAAGGAGCTGACTTTGGATCTGGCGAAGTGGCTGGTCAGTTAAAGGGGAAAGGACACACAAGGCAGAAGATTCAGTATGTGCAGGTACAAACTAATAGGAAAGGGAATGACTTGTTTAGAGAATGTGAGAAGTCCAGTGGAGCAGGTACAGCTTCTCTACTGGACTGTCTGCTCTGCTGAGGCAGCATTCCATGAGAAGGGGTGCTCCTGGAGGCACCTCATTCTGCAGTGTCCTGGGCCTGGAACAGTGCCTGATACCTAGCTGGCACTCAATAAAACGTGTATCGACCGATTCATTTGCTTTGTGACCTCAGACACTCTAAGTGTCATTCACTGTTGTCAGAAGTGAGAAGAGAACACTGTCTTCTACCTTGAGATCAGGCAGGCAAAGCACAGTAAGAGCTTCTTGATAAAGAGCATTCCCCGTCTGGCCTGGTACTTAGTTCTAGATCTTCCTCAAAGCCCAGAACAGGACTGAGTACAGATCTGCTAAATGATGGCCTCTTACAACATTAAAATTCTAATGTTCAATTAACTTAACTGAATGTCTGGTGTAATTTACCAGGCAATTGCTATGCACCAGACATTGTGCTTAGCACTTAACACATTATTTCATTTAATCCTGACAAGCCTATGAGATAGGTCATCTAATTATCAACCCCCTTTTGCAGATGAGGAATGTCAGGTTTTCAGCAAGCCAGTAACTGGCCAAAGTCTACAGCAAGCAGGGGACAGCACTGGGAAGTGAATCCAGGCCCTGCACTTCTTCCGCTCTGTCACTTAACTGCAGTACGAAGTGCTGTCCTCTAGGCTGGGTGCAGACAAGCCTTGCTCCCATGGAGCTTGGAGTTCAAAGGACTCAGAGTCATAAACTATGTGATACTTGGCAAGTCACTTTACCCCTCTAGGACTTGGCTTCTACCTCTGTAAAATGGAGATTATGATGATAACTACATCTCACAGAATTAAATTAGGAGGTATAGGGAAAAGTCTGGTCCATACAGGCTCCTTTGTGAAATGGTGCTACCATGACTGTGTGGGAGGACAGAAGTGCTCACTCAGAGGCAGGACAGGAGGCTCAGGACAAAGTCTACAGGGAACACAGAGGAGGGTGGTAGTAATTATGCCACTAACTTGAAGGCAGAATCTTTCAGGGACCCACCTCCTCTTTCACTTCTGCTTTATCTTCACAGACCAAGGAAAGAAAAAATCAGGCCCTCAGATCAGGGCTCTGCTCCAAATGACTCAGTGAGGAACTGATGGGGGGATTCCCAACCTGCCCTGGCAGGCCAGGAAGCTGCAGACCACAAGCTGAGTGGGACTAGTTAGGCTCCTGTCTAACCACTAAGGTCCTGGGGTGAGAGGGCACAGCATGTGAGGGAAGCCACATCTTTGTACCCTTGCTGCATTGTTCTCTTTACCATTATACCAAATGCATGAGGTGAAATCTCAGAAGTAATTCACACTCGAATTGTGAGAACCACCATGTTCCTCAGAGCCTTTACTTTGTGGTAGACACTGTGCTGGGTGCTTTACCAACATCTCGCTTAATCTTCATAACGCACCCTCACCCAATGCCACCAATGGCCCATTTACAAACTCAGAGGTTACATACCTGGAAAGTGACAAAGCCAGGACTCTAAGGCATATCTGCTGGTGTCTTGAACCTGGGCTGTCCTAGGCCCAAGTTTAGATTCTCTTTCTTGAGAAGGCAAGACAGAGAGAAAAGTGATCAGGAAAGATGGATTCTGGATCATAGTGTCCAAGGCCCAGAGTACACTGAGAGGAACATCCACATTTATGCCCCTTCTCTGGACCCCTCACAACCCAGCTGCTCCTACCATGTCTTTGGATTATGTATGGAGACCTGGGACAGGAGTCATGGCATCCATCATAACAACTCAGCAACAATCTGAGAAATCTTAGGAGAAGTGTAGACACTTAGGGCTGGGCTGAACTCCTAAGGCTGGGATGGGAGAGGGAGGAGAGGCCACACAATGGCCACCAGCTTTTGTAAGATGGAAAATTGGGAAGGAGGAGTTCTGGGTTCCAGGCCCAGTTCTATTACTTGCTCAGCCTTGGTTTTCTTGTCTGTAAACAGGGTACAACCATATTTACCTACCAATAACGCATTGCTTCTATAAGGATTACTGCAAGATAGTAGGAATGAAAGCACTTTGCAGACTAAAGAGCTAGACAAATCAAAGCATTCTCTTATTTGTTTACACCCCCAAAGACATGAAAGCAACTGGTTCTGCACACAGAGAGGTTCTCTCACAAAGTGATCAGAACATGCTGGAAGCACTGGCTTCTGTGGCACGTGCCACGATAATGACCCCTTGCATTTGTATGGTACCACAACAGAGAACTTCTCAAAGCATTTTTTTTTTTTTTTTTGAGTCGGAGTCTCATTCCATTGCCCAGGCTGGAGTGCGGTGGCATGCTCACTGCCAACACAGCCTCAACCTGCTGGGCTCAGGTGATCCTTCCGCTTCAGCACTTCAAGTAGCTGGAACTACAGGTATGCACCACCATGCCTGGCTAATTTTTTTATTATGTAGAGACGATGTCTTACCATGTTGCCCAGACTGGTCTCAACCCTGGGCTCGGGCAATCCTCTTGCCTCAGCCTCCCAAAGTGCTAGGATTGAAGGCATGAGCCACTGTGCCCCGCCCAGCTCAAGGCACTTTTCACTCCAAGGTTAGTCTCAGAATGTTAGAAGTAGATGTCTTCAACATAATCCTATTAAAACTGCCATATTTTGTGTGTGGGGCAACATGAGGATAAAAAGATTAAGCACCTTTCTCAAGGTCACAGCTAGTTAATGGCTCAGGGAGGCCCAGGTCTCCTGATCCTTGTTCAGCAGTGTTTGTTTACGCAATGCTAATCCAGTTATCTCATTTGAGCCTCACAATCCTTTGTACACAGCCACAACTGTAACTACTTGCTTAATGTCTGATTTCCCTACTAGGCTGTAAGTCCTTTGAAGGTAGGACCAGGTCTATATCCTGAGCCTAGCAAATGAGCTGGATGAAAAACAGGAAGCATTAGCCCCATCGTTGGCTAGGGGGATATGCCTAAGTCACATACCACAAGGGTTAGTGGTAGAACCAGCACTGCCAGCCTGACTCCTGTGCCTGGTTCAGAACCCTTTCACACACACTAGCTTAAATCTACATTTCTAGCCAGAACCTCTCATCTCTGAGAAGCCGTTTGGTTGTGCCCCTAAATAAATGTTGAGGGGTTTTGCCCTCTCATAAGTGCTAGACTTGCACCTGTCCCAGACAAGGCACCAGGTCTGAGAACAGAATAAAGACACTGGGTGAGGTCAAGTGGGTCCTCAGCTGCTATCTGCCTCTCCTTGATCAGTTTACACGATGCCCAAAGGTCCAAACCAACCCTTCCCAGCTGCCATAACACCCTAAAGTAGGTTTTTCCATGCCCCACTCCTCTCTTCCGATTCTCCCTGCAGGCTTTCTCGCCATCCAATTTGTTTACCAATCAGAGACCACAAAGCTCAATACCACTTACCCCACTCCCTCCCTAGCCAGGCCAGCTAACCCACTCTCCTGCTGGAAGGAGACAAAGAACCCCTTGATGTGCCCTGGGTGTGCCAGCCATGTCAGGCACCTTGAGGAGCCCAGGGCTGTGACAAAGCAGAGTCAGCATCAGCCCACTGTCCGCTTTGGAGAAAGGCCACAGCTGGCTTTGCCTCCCTGTAGCGAGAAGGCTCCAGAATAGACTAAGAGGGCAGGGCCACTTCAGGTAGTCCAGAGCCTTCCCACTTCCCCATCAGTCCACACAGCCAGTCATGAACCAAGACCTAACGATTTGTTGGCCTCTTCATCCTCATTGCTCCAGACCTCTTCCAGGCACACTATGTGCTCTTAGAACTTTGCACTCCCATCCAAAGGACTGCCCTTCTTTGCCCCTTCTGAGGCCTGGATCAAATGCCTCTTCTTTCTAGGCTCCTGTAGGCAAGGCTGGTTGCTTCTTCCTACATACTCCCAGAGCAACCACACACCTCAATTACAGCCTTTATCACTCCACACTGTCAGGATTTGTTTGTGATTCTATTTTCCAACCAGTCTGTGATCACCTTGAGGGCAATAAGACACAGAATCGTGTTCAGTTCTGTACCCGTTGTCTCAATCCCAGGGTCTGGCAGAGTAGGTGCTCAATAAATGTTTGGGTAAATAAACTCATTGCTAAGATAAATAAGCTGGCAAAATAGGCCTTGGCTTGCTCTCTCAGGCAGCTGAGTCTGCTACCTACTTCCCCACCTCAGAGAAGTGAGAGCTAAGCTGTGACAGCTTCTGAGGTGCTGTACAGAGCAAAGAATGGAGTAGGGTGGGGTGGAGGTAGGAGAGATGGGGAAGGGAAGGATGAGACAGAGAAAGCTGAAGTTGGCAGTTGCCCTGAAATCCTGGCTTCTCAGCAGGTTAAGCAACAGGAGCAGTGATTTGCTAGTCTGATGGCCAGGACAGTTTTCTCCTTGTTGGGGAAGATCCCTAGGCCCCAATAGCAGCTGATTCACCAGGGGCAGACTAATCAGCTAAAAGTAAGGTCTCCTATACTTTAGGTGTGCTGCCTGCAGGATAAAGAAAATGATCAGCCAGAGCACTGACAATGGATGGATGATGACAGGGTTCTGCCCTGGTGGGCACTGTATTTGGGGTCTGGGCCTTGGCTTGACAGTGAAGAAGAGATTGGGAAGTGCCAAGTAGCTGAAGGAGCAGGGAAATGAGAGTTGGAAGACCTGGTATCCCTCTCTGATCTGGCTCTACTGTTCATTAACTGCAAAGGTTCTCCAAGCTTCAGATTTCTCATCTATACAAGTAACATAATCCCTTCTTTACCTACAAAGAAATACTTCTTCCAAAAGGCACAGACTGGATATCAAAGTCAGATGGCCATTATGCCGCATTTTGGAGTTAAGAGCAATGCAGTGGGCTCAGACCTACAGGAGGGCTAGGTCAGGCCTGATCTGGCCATGCTTCCAGGGCCTCCCCAGAGATCTTCCACTGTGGGCCTTTCTTTCTTTCTTTCTTTCTCTCTTTCTCTCTTTCTTTCTTTCTTTCAGTCGCCCAGGCTGAAGTGCAGTGGCACACTCATGGCCACCCCAGCGTCAATCTGCTGGGCTCTGGTGATCTGTCCACCTCAGCCTTCCAAGTAGGCATGTGCTACCACGCCCAGCTAATTTTTTATTTATTGTAGAGATGAGTCTTGTTAAGTTGCCAGGGCTGGTCTCAAACTCACAGGCTCAGGCAATCCACTTGTCTCGACCTCCCTGGGATTACAGGCTGAGCCACCAAGCCCAACCCTGTGGGCCTTTCCTATTTGATGGCCATGAAGTTTCACTGGGCTGAGTCCTGCCTTGCCATCTACACTGGTTCCTCCTGAAATCCTGGCTTCTAAGCAGGTGAGCATCAGGAGCATTGCATCAGGGATAACTCCTGCCCTGAGTGTAGGGACCTTAGGGATTGGTGAGTACCAGGCACCTGCCTGCTGCCACCCTTAGCAAGGCTTAGTCACTTGATTTAGCATCAACAGGTTCTAGTTCCAGTTCTGCCATTTATCAGCTGGCCAACCTTGGGTACTTTCTTCTCAGGTCTTTAGTGTGCTCATCTACAGAATGGGGATAACCACTCTTCTCAGGGAAGTAAGCGTTCACCACAGGTTAGGGTTCACTTTTGTCCACAAGGGCTGGGCCTCACTGACACTCATTATCACAGCCAGAGAAGGGAGGCAGAAAATGAAAAGATAGGACCACTAGCCACTCTAGTCTTCAAGGGAAGGAAGAACATTTACTGAGCATCTACTATATGCCAGAATCTTTTCAAACATTAGTTCAATTAAACCTCACAAAAACTCTGCAAAGTCAGTATTATCATAACCATTTTGCAGGTGAGAAACTGAGGCTCAGAGAAGTGAAACAACATGTCCAAGGTCACACAGAAAACCAGACTCCAGAAATCATGTGAGGAAGGTGCATAGAGCATCTTCTTTCTCCCATCTCAGTGTAAACAAATTGGGTGGCTGGACCAAAGCCAGGCCTCACTGCCCCTCTGGAGGTCCTGTTTCAGACCCAGATGCTGGGAGGACAAAACATCAAGCAGGTCCCACCGCCTTATCTCTTTCCCACAGCTTAGAGTTTCCTAACAGGCGGACACACAGGCACCTTCCCAGAGCAGCAGCTGGTGTGCTGGCCCCCTCCTTCACCAAGTCAGGTCTTGTCTGAGGTCTTAGAACACCCACAAGGCCACCAAACCGGATTTTCCTTTGAGGCTGTAAGAAGGAAAGGAGGAGAGAAAATGGGAGGACCTGTGGTCTAGAGTCATAGACCAGGGACCCACATGTACAACTGCCTCCTTCCAGATGGGCCACCCAGGGACCACTCCACCACTAGCTCTATGCTCTCCTGGAATCTATAATAGCTCAAGAAAAGTAGATGCTATGATGAGCTTACAAACTAGAGAAGGTGGTGGGAAGACAGGGAGGCAAGAACTGAACTGCCAGGAGGGCCCTGGCCCCACCCCAACAAAAACTGGCACAGATCAAACTGTAGGGATGCCAATCAAGCCAATTCTATGATTTCTAAAGTTGCAGAGCTGCCACAGTTGGCTAGTAGTGGAGGGCCCAGGGAATAGAACTGAAGAAGGCAACACTGCTGTTCCAGATGTTTCTCCCTGGGCCCAGCTCAGATCCCTCACTTCCCTAACAGGAAGCCAACGCCCACAGAATCCCAGTGAGCACAACTCCTTACCTCATATGGCCTGCAGACCGAGCAGACTGAGGCTGGGTGGGAAGCTCCAGTCTCAGGAGGCTAGTAATGACAATCACTTGGGGAAAGGACAGGAAGGTCAGGCATCTACCTCTCTCAGGCCATCTCCCTCAGCCAAAAGACCTTCTTTCCTTCTTTCCCTTCCTGACCACCTCCAAACAAGCCTGTGCTTCCTACCCTAAAATGACAGGAAGAATAACATCATTCCTCCCACCCTTCCCTACTGACAGTAGGTCTTTCTCTTCATCTGGTCCTTCCTGGGCTTCAATGCCCAGTTCAGTCTCCAGCCAAGCCAGAAGAATCAATGCTGCTAGCACCCTGGTCTGTGCCTATGCCATCCACAGGGACATTTGCTGGCTGGCTGCTTTCTTGCCTATGGCTACTGCTCAAGAGCAGGCAGGGACCATCTCAGTTCCACCAAAGGTTGCCTATAAAGCAGCTTCAAAAGACAGACAAGATGAAGAAGTGGAAAGGCCTAGGGCTGGGAATCAGGAATTCTGAGTTAAATTCCCAGCTTTGCCCCTAATAGACTAAAGAGGTTAATCATGTCTCTCAGACCTCAGTTTACCTATCTGCATGATGATAGCCATCTCTAAGGTCACTTTCAGCTTTCTGACTTGTCTTTTAGTAAATAAATGGTAAGCCTGGCTCCAATCCTAAAGCTGGTCAGTCTAATGACAACATACTCTTATGCTTCTGGGTCAGTTCCTACACTACTGAGGTATTCAAAAGTGCTGAGCTAAGCCAGGGAAGGTGAAGGCAGGCAAGTGAATGCCACCTATTTGATACCTGATTTCCTGCAGAGGCCATAGGTCATATTTGTGGATGGTGAAGGCAATGGAAACAGTACTGACCTGGAAGTCAGAAAACCTGGGTTCAAGTTCTGGTTCTGTCATTAACATGCTGTGTGCTCTTAACCAAGTTACTCTCCTCTCTGGGCCTCAGTTTTTTCACCTGTATAAGTAAGGGCTAAGATCCCTTCTAGCTCCAATATTCTATGATTTTTTTTTTTTTTGAGTTGGAGTCTCACTCTGTCACCCAGACTGGAGTGCAGTGGCCGCTCCCGGCCACCACAGCCTCGATCTGCTGGGCTCTGGCGATCCTTCTGTCTCAGCCCTCCAAGTAGCTGGAACTACAGGTGCACGCTACCACGCCCAGCTAATTTTTAAATTTTTATTGTAGAGATGAGGTCTCACCAAGTTGCACCGGTGGGCCTTGAACCTGCAGGCTCAGGCAATCCACTCACTTTGGCCTCCCAAAGTGCGGGATTACAGGCTGAGCCACCGAGCCCGGGCATTCTATGATTTTTTGATCTGCTCATGCCAGGTACCTAACAGCAGCATGAGCAAGGTAGCCTCTGACCTACTTTCTTCTACATTTCCCCAGCCCCCAGCAACTACCAAAATCCAACTGTTTAAAGACAACCTTTGACCAAGGGCAGCTGAAATGGACCTTTAATCTGGAGCCAGAGTCCCTGCCATTTCTCCACTGCAGCCATCAGTGCTAATGTTTCACTTCTCTGGTATAGCACATGGACTCCTAGCCCTCAACCACGAGACTGGGTTCAGGGCGGTCACCCTGAAACTTCTCATAACTTCCCCTCTTGTGGCTGTGGGCAGGGACTTACTCTTGGCTTTTTTGAAACCACAATTAAACTAAGCAGGGAACATCCAAGCTTTAAATCCAGAGGTTTTAGGCTGACCAACAGGCTCAAGAAAGGGAGGCAGGGAGAGAAGAGTGGACCTGAGGTCCCAACTCAGCGCCAGTCCTACAGGCAACAGTGATGCAGAGGGAGTCTGCAGAACCACATCCTGGGTTTGCACTTGTGGGGAGGGGAAGACAGATATCAGGCTGCCTGGTTAGGGACTACAGCCAAAGGGAGGTGCTCCCACTGGGGCCTCACTCTGCCCACAAATACCAGAGATATGCCCTTATTTTTCTAATTTCTCAGACCCTTAGAAGGAAGAAAAAGGAAACTAACATTTTTCTGGGCCACTACTTGTGCCAGGCACTGTGCTAGCCTGATAACATCCCTGACCACATTTAACCCCTAGTAATGCTGGAAGGTGTTACTGTTGCCCTTTACCATAAGT